GGGGCGAGCCGGTTACACCAATAGCACTTGCCCCAACAGTCTGTTGAGGCTTCATAGCTATGTGAGAAAACTGGACAACCCGGAGGAAATCCATGTAGTGCAGGGGGAGAGAAAGCCAACTCCTCTCACTCACACAAAAGACAAACCTCCCCCTTTTTAGCCTGTAACAGGCAATGGCGGAGCCAGGATTTTCAGGTAGGGGAGCAACCCCTCCAGCAATGAAAAATGATAGAGGAGTTGTTAGTAAGCAAGGAGTTGTTAGTAAGTAAGGACTTGTCCCTTGCTTTTCATTCGGCGTGTGTGCGGCGATGGCGCAGCCATCGATCGAGGGTCGAATTCGAACCGCGTTGTGTGATCGGCATCGCGCTCGCTGAAGGTGAATGCCTTCAGGGAAGTCGTGTCCTGTAGACGCAACTGCGCACAATTCTGTGAGTCACTTATAACTGCTTTGCCGTTACTTATTGCCAATTATGGACTCAAACTATTGTCCTATCATCTCATAGAGTCCCTGGCACGTAATAATATGCTACACAGTGGCAGTGGCGGTCGCAAAATGCCGATTTATTACTCATAAACCCCAATGATTCAATCGAAATTAGGGATTTCAATCAGATCATTGGGGTGGCACGTGCCACCCCCCCCCCCCCGGCTCCGCCAGTGGTACCAGGCAACCTTTTTTCTCCCCAGTGCTGCTGTTTTACACACACTGTGCCACATACCTATTCAAGGCCTAGTCAACCCAGTGAGCTATGTTAGGATGGCAGCCACACTATTATGGCGCCGTTGTGGTGAGATGTTAACTACCTCGCCTGGTGTACAGGAGGTCGTGGGGTCGATCCTGCCACTGACGCCTGTATAGTTGGAGTTTGCGTGTTCTCCCTGTGATCGTGTGGATTTGTATCAAGGTCCTCTGGTTCTTTCCCCTCCACATTTAGAATCGTGTGTTTTGAGCCGTTGGCTGCTATACATTTCCACGTAGCAAGCCACTTCGTTGAGCTATTATTTGTGGCCCGATCACTTCTGAAAAAGAGCTACGTAGCATAGTGGGCCTTACCTGGAAAATACTTTATAGACATAGTTTTAGTTAATTATCCCGTGCCACGCAGTGCATCCTATAGAGGGTTGCAAACCGGGGCAGCTGCAATGCCCTTCTGTTGTTTCTTTGGAGATGTTAAGTATTCATTACTGGGCTACAGAGTAATGCGATTGTTTACTGCAGAGCTTCAGGAATTCGTTTTGTAAAAAAAAAAAATTTGCTCTTAAACATTAACTTTTTATAAGTGATATTGAACTGAGACTGGTCTGTTTAAGTGCTTCATTTCTAAACACACTGGTTTTTTATTCGTTTAGCAATGGTATTAGGATATGAGAGTGATAATAATCATTAAAAGCCAAGGAAATCTATCTCCATTCTGAAATGAACATAGTGATAGCACCCATCTCTATTGATGACCCTGAGGTGGCAGTGGAAATTCCACGTTCTATTGGTGGAAGACAGCCGCTCCAAGAGAGGACCGCTGTTGATAACAAATTCTACCTTTATATGGGAAAGCTTGACACCCCTACCTTTTGATGTTAATAGATGCTCACTAACAACAGTAGGTGGGCCAACATTATAGGATAAAATCGGGATCCCTTTGAGATATATGATAAAATAAATGAAAATAATTCGTTAGAATAATCACACATTTAGCAATAACAAATACATTCCACAATATAACAATCATGTGAGATATTCTTGGTTCTTTCGGTAAAGTAACGTATTGTTATATATATATATTTTTTGTTATATTTTTTATTTTATTATTTCCCTTCTACGTGATTTTACCGAAAGAACCAAGAATATCAATCCCTGCAGTCACGAAAGCTTTAAATCAAAAATCATGTGAGAGTTAAAATTCGTTGTCTTCTTACTTACAGGAGCATTGGGTGGAATTTATCTTTGTAGCCATGAGCCAATCTATAAAATTCAACATTCCTATAACAGGAGCTCATTTCCATAGAACAACCATTGTTGATTTCCCACGAAGTAGTACCCATTTTAACAATTAATGGATGATGGGCAGATTCCAACATGCGGCCAGGACTCTAGCGTGTGACCTTATTGTGAGCTGAGCACATTAGCCAACAATGCCACTCAGCCAGATTTTATTTTTTTTAAAGTATTGAGATTGCAAGAGTTAAGTACGGTCCCTTTTGAGAAAAGCAAGCAGGGCTGAGTCAGATCCATCCAGCATGCTTAATGACTTGGATGAATTGAATTCAGCTCGCTAGCCCACAAGTCAATTTGAAAAGTTGTCAAAGTTGGAAAGAAATGGGAAATTATAGAAAGTTACACTTTTGGTAATGGCTTCATTTTTCAAAGTATGGCTTTGCACCACAATTGAGGTAACAAATGCGAATAGAGGATTAATTAACATGACCTGTTTTGTGCCCATGCTGTGCACGAGGTGCGATGTGGAATATTTTAAGAGTGGCACGCATTCATACTCTGCTGTTAATGGGTGCCCACCAGATGAACACTTGATTAATTGTGCTGCTACGTTGGGAATTAAACATCGTTTGAGAAAATTTGTTTTACGTTCGCCCATATAAATCCCACATGAACTCTTCAAAAGGCAATTTCAATGTGCCTTTGCCATTACTATATTGCATCAATATTTGCGAAGGTTTGATGGGTTATTAGCGGTTTAACAAATGCGGAACATTTACTCACTAATGAATTTAAATTGCTTTGAATTTAGGAGCAGATGTTTCACTATAACTTTATCTTAATGTTGTATTTATACAACAAAAGCACAATAAAAACATAATTGACTCTGAATTCACACTTCTGTGACTGGATGTGTCAGTGTATTTACACCTGCACAAAGTTGTAAGGAATCTAGAGCTGCTTTTTAAACTAATTATAGACATTAACTGATTTGGAGAGGAAAAAACAATGCATTTCAACGAACCATTTCAATGTGCTGTATGCCTCTGTCTATTCCTCAGACCTCTGGAACGTGTGACATTTTCTTAGGCTGGCCAATGCTTTGAGGGGACTGATTTGTAGCGGGTGAAATGTTGTATGCTAATGTAATAACACGCTGGAGACGGCTTGTAGAATCGGTCCTTTTATTTCACTTCTTGCAGTTCACAAACACTCCCCGTTGCTAGCAGGCAATGGGAAGCAGGCAGACAGCCACCAGAGACACACCGCCCACGTGGCACCCGGAGCCCCACTCACGCGTGACCCCTCTCTCTCTTCGTTCCGTGTCTGACCCCGTGTCTCTCCTCTCTCCCCTTATTTAATGTCTGGGTCACGTGGTACACTCCAGCCAATCCTCAACAGCCTGCGCCGAATGTTCCAGATCCCCCATCAACTCCCGGGACCACGCCCCTGACTTGTCTTCCCATTGGCTGAGGCCAAGACCAGCGAAACCAATCACCTAGCGGACATCCCGTGATCACGCCGAGGCCATGCTCCCAGGCTTTCCCCCATTGGCTGTAAAGCGGGACCGGCAAAGCCGATCACCACGTGAATCCGACATAGGCTCTTATTACACTAACATTAGAGCGCTGAGCCATCAATGCCGAGATTGTGGATTAAAACCCCAGATCTAACATGATGAAACAAGTTAGTTTCTTAACTATTGTGAAATTGATGGCCTTAGCCTAGTAATCAATGTCTGAAATTTTAATTTTCGAGTGGTTTTGTGTGTGTGTGTGTAGGCAACGGAGCTTACTGACATAACTCAACCGTTCTGTTTCTCTTTGGTTCTTTCGGTAGAGTCACGTAGAAAGAAAATGAATTAAATAATAGAATACGACATTTCGATTGCAACACAAGCAATCGTCATCACATAGAAAACAAACCTAGTAAACTTGGAAATACAATGCAATACAACACAGAGTCGGCTAACACAACAGTCAACACTCCACCTGGTTGATTACGCTCTTCCAAAGATTGCTAAATTTGAGAGAGAGACAAAACACAGACACGGAGACACACAGACAGACACACAAGCAGAGAGAGACTCACACAGAGACACACAGAGAGAGACACACAGAGAGACACACAGATAGACACACAGCAGACACACAAGCAGAGATAGACAACACACAGACACACAGAGAGAGACACACACACAGAGACACAACGCCTCTGTGTCGAGGCCTTAAATAGAAAGGGGGGGGGGAGGCAAAGAGAGAGGGGGGGGGTAGAGAAATTAGCATGTCAATGAGAGAGTTGTGTGGAAATCCACCCCGTAGCGGCCGGGGGAGAGAAAGAGCAAATGGACCTACACAAGCCTGGCAAATTCTCGAGAGAGAAATAGGAAGTTTGAGAAAACAAACTTAGTACAATTTTGGAAATGTAATGCAATGCAACACAGAGAGTCGGTTAACAAACAGTTAACGCATGTGTAAATCTTAGTCCTCAGAGCTGGATTATGAAATACCTCAATTGTACTCTATCGCTCGTGCAATCATTTGTGACCAGGCCACACTACCAACTCTCTACACTTTAGAGAATAAACTTTCTACGTTTTCTTGGTTCTTTCGGTAAAGTCACCGAAAGAACCAAGAAGATGAATCCCTGCAGTCACGAAAGCTTTAAATCGAAATTTAAACTTTCTACAATAGAGAATCTCATTTAATTATGGGTTGGCTGAAGCCTAGAATTGGAATCCGGATCTCAGTGGAGCTGGCTCAGTGCTCAGACAAAAGCCACCATCCACCAGCAGTGTAAATGTCAATAAAGTAAAACTGTCCCCTTCACCATCCGTTGGGCCACTGTTGGCAACCATAAGCGAGGAGTGGACTTTCCACATTGCTACGGCAGGTGCGAGTATAATATTGCTGACAACTCTTGGTTTCGCACAAAGTAGTACTCACTTCATTGACTTCAAAAGGATGAGGGGATTAGTCGACCACTAATTGGTATTTGAACCAGCAGGCTTCTGTCTCGCTTGTTGCATGATACTAATGCGTGTTTATTTTGCCTTTTGAACTTTCAGATTACAACCCACCGTCGCCTCCATCAGGCAGTGGGTTCCATCGCTACATGATCTTCATTTTCAACGAACCCGTGGATCAGACGATCAGCCTGACGCCCTCCGAGAAAGCCTCCAGAGGTCAGAGCGCACGTGTCTGAGGGGTCGTGTCTGCCCTCCCTTCCCATGTGTCACTCTGAATGTGGTGTGGCTGAGCCACGGTGGCGAGATGTTTTCTGCCTCGCCTGATATGCAGGAAGTCGTGAGTTTGATCCCATCCCTGATGCCTGTATATTTGGGGTTTGCATGTTCTCCCCGTGGTCGCGTGGATTTTTCTTCCGGGTCCTCCGGTTCTTCGCTTCATATTTAGAAACATGCCTTTAGAGTATTTGGCTACTACTATAGATGTTCACATGATAAACCACTTTGTTGAGCTACCATTTGTGGCCAGGTCGCTTCTGAAGAAGAGCTATATAGCTTAGTGGGCCTTACCTTGTAAAATAGAAAATAGTTTTGTTAATTTCGTGTCCATCAAACCTCGAGACTCAAAGTCTAATTGAAATTAAGTGGTGTAGAAATCCAAATAAAAAATAGCAATTTTTACCATAAATGTCAATTGTTATCGCATAAAGGATATCATGCAAGATAAAATATGCGGTATAATCACAATAGCCACCATAACTGTATGGCATTCTAGATTAAATAAACAAATCTGCTTGGCCATTTTTATTGACTTAAAAAGTTGTTTGACTGTTTAATGATACAATCCTAATGTCAAGATTAAAATACCATAATAGGGCCCTTGGTTGAATTTGAGTGCTATATTAAGAGTATAAAGCAATGGAAAATATTTTGAGAGAAAACTAAATTCAGATTTCTTCACTATCTCAAAAGCAGTCCCAGAAAGTTCGATTCTAGGCCTGCATCTATTCTCTTTCACATTCATGAGCTCGGTTCAAAGTTAACCCACTCAGAAATGTACTTCTTTGATAACGTTATTAATATCCACACACCTGCCTATTTGGCTGATAATGTACAAGCAAGATCAGACGTAGGTTTCGGTAACATTCAACGTGATCTTATCTCTCTCAAACTCCCGTTGAATGTTTGAAAAATGTAATGCCTTTTTATGGCACAGGTTATTTTCAATTCCCATCCGTGGCATAATTTCATGAGACAACTCTTTTTTTATTATAGCACATTGCAAATTTTTACACTTAGAGAGATTCTGGGCAAGTGGATTAATTACTATTTGAATATCAAAATATGCACACTCAAAATGCCACAAAGAAAGTTTAAATTCGAGTTCGGTTTCTTTTTTTTCTAAGAAATTGTCCCTCAATAATCCACTCAGCTCGTAACATCCTCGCTCTCACCAGTACCAGATGGCAATGATTTGTTTGTAAATCTTTTCTCTCGGTCGGAGGCATCGCTACATCGTTGAGCGGAAGAATTGGTCTCCTCGTGTCGACTTGCTCCTGATTTGACCCTCTTATTCCATCTCGGCATTTATGCCGTCACTCTTTCCTTGCTCTTTGATATTTTAGCGTATTCCCTTGATCCCCCTTTCGTTATTCTTGCATCGCCTCTTCTTTCCTAGGGGACTCCATGTACCCTGGTGCTTTGCTCTTCTTGTTATTGTTGAAACTGAAAATAGCAAAACAACTGGAAACTATATTCTTGGTTCTTTCGGTAAAGTCACGTAGAAGGGAAATAATACAATAATATAAATATAAAACAATAACAATTCTCACGACGTTTCGACTGCAACACAAGCAATCATCATCAGGTGTGAAATACACAGCAAGAAAATTTGAAAAAAGAACCAAGATTATGAATCCCTGCAGTCACGAAAGCTTTAAATCAAAACTAGAAACTACTAAGTTTATTTTACCAAGTAAGGGCCACTGAGCTATATAACTATTTCTCAAAAGCGAGCTGCCCACAAGTGTTAGCTCAACGAAGTGGTTTATCACGTGGCAATTCATAGTCGCAGCCAAATACTCTAAACGCGGAGGGGAAAACTGGAAGAACCGGAGAAAAATCCACGTGACCACGGGGAGAACATGGAAACTCCAAATATATAGGCATCAGAGTCGGGATAGAACCCAGACCTCCTGTATATCAGGCAAGATAGTCAACATCCCATCACCGTGGTGCCCCAAATTACACTCTGCTCACAGCATTGCCCCGACTAACTTAGATCATTTGATTAACTCTGCCTCTTGCTTCATTCTAAACGAGGGTCACTCCATTCATAAACTGTTCCCAAGTCGAAGTCAGACTACCTCCACTGCCCTGCTGGAGAGATATTAATTATCTGTGTTTATATAAAAAAAAATTGTCGTTCAACTTAACTGATTTCAATAAATACAATTTACGCTGTCCATACCTGGAATAATCTGCCATCAAACCCACAGTTAAAGTCCATTCCCTCTCAATTGGCATTTTATGACAAATTGGATGCTCTTCTTGGAAAGTGTGAGTGCAATTTATTTATTATCTTCTTATTATCTTCTTATTTTATTTATTATCGCATTGCTACTTCACTTGATCGTATTTTTGCAATTTCTTTTTGAAAGCATAATGTTCGTAATTGCTGGTAGGGATGCGATCTGTGTCTTTGTTTACTGTGACTTGTTTTGGCACGACCCGTTTCTCTGTGCTCACTTTGATGATCTTATTCTATTGCTGAAGTGCGACTGAGCCGCTTGTAGATCTCAAAAGCTATGTTTAGGTCTAAACTGCTCTTCTTATGTAATTATGATCGTAATTACTTTACTTACCCATGGAAGCCACAAGGACTGTTCTTTCCTGATGGGTCCTGTATTTGGTGTATATTTTAAAATGTTTTCTGCCAATCACTGGGTGTTTATTATTCAAGTGGGAGGAGAAACCAAAGCGCCCGGAAAAAAAACCCACGCATGTGAGGGGGAAACGCTCTATCCCCGTACAGATGGACACAGATGTAGGTTAGACCACTTGCCTCACTGCCTTCTCCTGGCAAGCCAGGGTATGACATCTCAACGCCCACGGGAAGGGAGTTTTACAACATTTGTTGGTGATCCACCAGCTCTCGCTGCCTCCACAGTGCTGGATTACAGGCCAAGTGCATGGCCAACACCGCCACCCATTGTCACACATTGACCCAGGTCCCCCTTGCAAAGGAGACTCGTCCTCTCAATAGGTTGCTACTTAATAAAGTCAATCAGTTGTTTTATAAACAGGGGGGGGGGGGGGGATGATGGCTTTGAATTTGATGTCCACATTGAAGTGTAACTCTCAACCTTGTTATTGTGAGTCACATGCTCTCACCATAGTTCCACCTGTACAGGTGGAATTTTAAATGTACTTAAGCCCACACTAATGGGCGTGCAGGGGGTTGTAAAGTACAACACTGCCGTCGAGGATTGCAACCGCATGGCTCGACGATTATGCACCCGCTGAATGAATCAAGTACATATCTATGAGCATGCACACATACACGCACGCAGAACACACATATGCTATGCCGAATTCGATTATCTTAATGCTTTTAGTTGGTTATACTAATAACGCGCGTTATGCAACCAAGTGCACTTCACAGCAGCACCCACGCATGGAAGTGCTTCTTTAGTCCACACTGAGCCAGGGAAACCCCTCCCGAGAGGCCAGCAAAAAATAAAACCACGTCTTCGGCTTTCCGGAGGAACTCACACCTGACTGCAGCATCACACAAAGCCAAAGATTCCCCATATAGCCTTTAACATACTGTGGGGGCAAGTGCTATTAGCGAGCACCTATGAATGCCAGCAAGGTACACTAAGGGGTGGGTGGCCAGCACCACGCCTAGCTGCCTTTATCTCCCCAAAGGGGATGTTTACACCCCGCACCAGGTAATCATTTTTTAGTCCGAGTTGACCTCGGGGAGGCTCAGAAAATTGTCACTTGTGTAGTGGGTCAGGAACCAGAGGAGAACGTAGGTGAGGCAACACAATATGTATTTAACTACACTGAATACAAGGTCCCTAACACAAAGGGGTAACGGCCCCTTTCACCCGATACCTAAGGAGACGTGGCCTCTGGGCTACGCTGCCGCCTAACACTGTGACCACGCGAGCTCTGAGCCCTCCGGCTCGGGGTCCTCGGGGAGGCCACGCTGACCCGACCGTCCCAAGGTCTCCAGGTCTTGACCGCTGGCCTCACTGAGCTCCGGCCCTTAGAAGGACAGCGGAGATTGGGGTCCAAGGATCCTATCTTCAGCTCCGTCTTCGGTCTTCAGCTTGGAGATGATTGAGCAGGACCCTTCAGAGGTCCAGCTTATATACAGGTCCGTGGCTTGCTCCGCCCTAGCCACGCCTCCCTTCCAGAACATTCTGGAAGGTGACCCAGGAATCGTTTTCCCAGGGATTGGCGTTGGCCCCTTGGGCCCAGGTCACTAACACTGGCGTGACCTCGCTTCTGCCCCCTGTTGACGAGAAGGGGGGGCTACCCGCTAACAGCATGGGGAGTGCCGATTAATACCTCGACACTTGTATTGGCCGTGAGTGGGAATTGAACTCAGGTCGCCGGGTTCGTAGAGCAGCGAACTAACCACCGCACCACCGCAGCATCACAGCCATACTCACACCGCAGCCATGCCGCCACACAGATTCTCATCACCTCAAATCCTGTTCGTGGAGTTCGACTCAGCCAATCATCACTCTATGGGGTTGGTCAATAAAGTATCACTTTGAGAGGTAGTCAATAAGGGGTGCCCCATGGATGTACTTGCCCCCATCATAGGAATGTGGAATTTTTACCACTTGCCCAAGCATGTAAACAGGATATGAGTACCATCCTAATACTAATTGAAGCATTAAATGATCTTGGCTTGTTTGAGTGTGAATGTAGAATAGTTGCACATCCGTCTGCTGTCTCTGTATTGTGTTTAGGGTCGTATTATAAGGTAGTATGAAATTAAGGAGAAGTTAATGTTCCACTTTCAATACGGAGGGACACACATGGGTCAGTACTTACGTGTTGGCATTTACAAAGAAGTTACCATCCAGCGTATCTTGTATGCTTATACTGTTTACAAACCATCACAATGTGAAATGCGCTACAAAATGGCGACATGAGGTGGTGAGAGTTCGTGGTAGGTTGTGAGAATGTTGCTTCGT